AAAGGATTCGGAAAGTGTTGGATGTGTCTAATGATAATTACGAAGATACGGCGGCTTGGCAAACACACTCTGATCATTCTGATAAGAAAAGAACAAATGATTTGGTGAAGGCCTCATACTTTTCACGGAGACCTGTATCAAGCGCCTTGACGAGTTAGTGCTTTCCTGGGTCAAGAATGTGGCTGCTGTAACAGAACTCTGTATCATGCCACACAAACAGGAAAACCAGTTCATGGCCTTCAGATAATTTCTGAGACCACATCAACCCTTACATATCGCCTCCTAACTTCCCAGGTTGCATCTCTCTTGATTATTATATGTGGGGCCCATTTGAGTAAGAGACTAACAAAACTCTTGTAACACCTAAGACGTACAGGAAAGCAAATATTATCGTAGCATTTACCAACTAAAACAAGAAGACATTTCAGAGGAGTTGCACGAGATTCAGAAGTCATCTTTAGGCCGTGGTTGAATCCAATGGCGATTTTATTGAATAAATGCACTCTTTAGTATTTCGAGATTGTTTTGTGTAATTTTGATAAGTAAATCTGTTAAAATGAGATGCCAGTGTTATTTTAAGTGTTATTTCCGTTTTTGCGTAATTAGACTAAAATTTGGAAATAATGACAAGATACTTTCGTTGAAAATTGCTTGGTATCTTGTATCGTCAATATGTACTATTTTGCTTGTTCCAGGTGAAAAAAAGCACCCAAAAACCATAATGCTGTCACCGCCATGTTTAATGGCTGGCATCAAATTCTTCTTTTCAAAATCGTATTAGGAGCACGCCAAATATACCATCAATTTTTCCTCCCCAAAAATCCTTATTTGGGTTTCATCCGACTATAAAACCTTCAGTCAGAAACATTGTAGCTTCTTAATATGAGCTTTGGCATAGCTGCATAGCTGAGTTGAGCATACTTGTGCTATTCAAGAAGCAGTTTCTTTGAGTTTTTTAGGTATTCTGTCATGAACATTGGCATTGTTCAGATTTCGTCGATTTGTGTATGGATGCACATTGATTCCGACATTGGTCATGGAGCATTGGAGAACTGCAAAACTCACTTCTTGGCAAAATTCCCAATATTGCTCGATTTTATCTGGCTTTCTTGTATATACTGAATTCTTTACTTGAATCGCAGATTTTCAATTGGGTTTAAATCAGGACTTTCACTAGGCCGTTCTAAGACTTGAAATACGAATCCATTCTTTTGTGGATTTTCTCTGATTCTTCAGATTATTGTCCTTTTAAAAGTCCCAGCCCTGACTTTTGAACTGAAAACAAGACACTTTCGTTCAAAATTGCTTAGTAACTTGTAGATCCCATTGTGCCGTCAATGCGTAATATTGTGTATGTTCTGCCTGCAGCAAAGTACCCCCAAATCATAATGCTGTCACTGCCATGTTTAATTGTTGGTATCAAATTCTTCTCTTTAAAAGCCATATTAGGAGCTTGCCATATATACCACCTATTGTTCCTCCCCAAAAGATCTAGTTTGGTCTCATTTGAACATTAATACCTTCAGACAGAATGTTCCTAGCTTATTAATATGAGCTTTGGCATAGTTGAAGTGAGCATGCTTGTGCTATTTCATATACAGTGGCTTTTTCTAGGCATTCTGTAATGAAGATCAGCATTATTCAGATTTCGTTGTAGATGTATGAATACTGGTTCTGACATAGGCCAGTGAGCATTGGAGAACCACAAATGTCATCCCAGGTTTTGCTTGGGCATGCCACACTAGATTCTCAGAGTGTAAATGTAACGGTTCACTTACTTTTGCATATCTTAATTTTTAATTAATATTTTTCCAACTTGATAAAACTATTGGAAAATGGTTGTAATTAATTTAATAAAGGGTTTTTTTTCTTAATGAATATATAGTTTAATTAAGATTTGTTGATTATCTGGAAAAAGTAGGAATTATTTTAAATATTATGTTATGGGTCCATTTAGTTTTGCACAGTAGTGGTTATAACATAAATACCACATAACGTGTAATCAGCAACTTCTCTTCGTGTGTGGAGTATTTAATTATATTGTGACCTGGCCTATCCACACACACAGACACTCACACGCACACACACGCCAACACACACACACACACACACACACACACACACATATATATATATATATATATATATATAAGTATATATATATATGTATGTATGTATGTATATATATATATATATATATATATATATGTATATGTATGTATGTATGTATGTATGCATACCAAGTCTTTCCATTGTATTCTAATTGTCTCTCAATCTATAGTTTTCAAGTTGTCAAATAAGTGTCCAGCTACCCTCACACAAATCCCACAGTGCATCAGCTGCTAATTATTCAACAACTCGTCAAACGAAAAATATTTAACGAAGCCGGAAGTAAGTAAGAACTGGTATTAAAAACTGTGGCTTTTCGTCAAAAACTCCACTTACGCTAGTCAGACAAAAAATAAGTAAACGGAAAAGATATTCAGCAATTTCCATGCAGGAATCATTTCAAAAATCGACAAAAATTTTTCAAAATTAAAAAAAAAAATAAACAGACCCACACAAATCAATCGCTAGGAATACTCTTGAACATGTTTTGTATTTATTACGCGCCAAGAAAGGCAATGAAGCCACTAAGAAGTTAGGTGTTACAGGCGATGGAAGAAACAGGTCGACCAATAACAGAAAAGGTTCCAAAGAGATATAAGATGACACTTGTTATTGCATTTGAATTTTTGAAAGTCGTAGCTGAAAGAAAAGCAGGAAGTCGGAAGTGAATGCGGTAGAAGTATCTACTGGCATTTAACTTATGGTTACAACTGATAATTTCAACAGTGAAAGTAAGAGACCTATCTGCCAATCTAGTACTGCTTTTGAATTCACGACAATGTGTACCAATGAGGAATGCTCATCAGAACAATTACCATAAAAATTATTATAGAAGAGGCAATTGGAAGCTACGTTTCAACGCTTGGAAACTGACGGAGTGGCGAAATACGAGGTCATGATCGATAGCGTTGTAGAATACCTAAAAAAAGGTAAAGAGACTGCTTATGGGATTGCACAAACATACTCAACTCAGCTATGCCAAAGCTCATATTAATAAGCTAGAAAGGTTATGGCTGAAGGTTTTATGATCGGATAAAACCCAAATAAGGGTTTTGGGGAGGAACAATAGACGGTATATTTGGTGCGCTCCTAGTACGATTTTGAAGAGAAGAATTGGGTTTCTTTGTCAAGGATCGTTAGATATATCACAGGAACACCAGATTAGATGTAACAGATATATTCAATCCAGAACATATAAATATATGCATGACAGGTTCTGGCTACAAAAATTCCCCAGCAGGACACAGGGGAACGAATTTTGTTGCAGTAACCATAGCAACTAACTCAATATGATCAGTCCATTTCAGGTCAGTATAAAACGTGAGATAAAGAATGACCCATTGACTTGCTATCCTGGAGGTTAACACCAGCCATACTAATGAAAGGCACACAAGTTTATATATATATATATATATATATATATATATATATATATATATATATATATATATATATATAGCATTTCCTCCAAGAAAGGCGGGAGTGCCACTAGCACGCAAGGGGGTTATGAAGAGAGAGCAAGAGTAAAGAGGGGTGTTTGAGGAAAGGATATGCAGAGAGCAGGGTATCAGGATCAAGACGTCAGTTGTCGATTGACATTACATTTTAATTTTTAAAATTATAGCTGTCAGGGAATTAAGTAAGAAGAAGCTGTTGGAATAGAAGAGGGGATTACATTTAACTGTTTCGACAGTCAAAGAATGGGACCGAGATTCCTCCCTAGTATCACGCTTAAATTCATGCAGATGGGATACCAGTGGAAGTAGCTCATCAAAGCAGTTGAAAATATTTGTAGAAAAGACAGAGGGAAGCCACAACACGTCTTTGAGAAAGTCACTGTAGACGAGATACCAGATCAGGATCTATCAAACTGCATATTCGTGTCTGGATTTTGTCGAGGACCTCGAGATGACCAGCGGCGGAACCAGACCATATATGGCAACAGCATTCAATGCAAGGACGAATGGTAGATTTGTAGATTTGAATTATGAATTCAGGCGAGAAAATCATTCTCGCGCGACAAAAGAGAACCAACTTTCTTTGCGGTAGATGAAGCTATTGATTCAATGTAGTTTTTTCCAACACAGGTCAGCGGAAATAGTGAGACAAAGTAGGCGCGTTGAGACGCTCTCGTGGAGTTGAACATCAGAGTTCCCTTTTAGTGACGTTAAAATGAACATTTTTACCCGAGTTCACAATTTGATTCAGAGGATACTATGAACCGAACATGTGTGTAACGGTGACTGTTAATGAAAATAGAAATAAAAAGAGTAGAAATAATTTAATTTATTAAGAGATACGAAAGACAGGAAGTTGTCGAGATCCATGATCGCCTAGGACCTGAGGTAATACGGCACATAGAAGAATAATATGCTAAAAATCATTACATAGAATATTCGATGACGGTCTGCATAAATGTGTTTACGTACTTCTTCCCCTTTTACTGGATATTTGCTAATCATTTTTATCCCTTAAATCGCAAAGGCTTCAACGGAACGGCCTTGATACGAGCGTGTGACTTAAAAACCTTTGTTCGATCTAAGTAGTATTAACGCAAAATATGATGCAGCCCGATGCACAAATTTGCCCCTGTAAAGATTTCAGAGCCGTTCCAATATAACGTTATAAAGTTATTCTTTATAACTTAACGCAAGTAGATAGACACACGACGTTTATTAGCAAAGCGTACGCTGTGAATCAATGTGTTAGTTGCGCGCGATTTTCCGATCAATAGTACAGTCAGAGAAGACAGGAATGTACGTACGTTTTCCTGTAAAAACGTGCGTTAATGTTCCTGGTTATATGTGAGGAGGATAACCACGACAGTGTCGTCCTGAAACTAAGATCAATCTCTTTAACTTACCTTCCTTTGGGACACTCCAAACATAGCATTACAGAAGAAATAAAAGAACGGAATGGCGTCGGGTCAAATTGATAATTATAAACTGTGAGCAGTCATCTTTGCTTCTGGCACAACATAAATCATGGACGAAGAAAGAAAAGTTCCTAAAGAACGTCACGGACAGCATAAAAAATGGATAAAAGAGACATTACTAACAAGAGGCAGACGATAAACTACATCCGGCAGCAAGGTTTTTGAGAGAGATTGGAGGTTTTAAGAAAGCGTGGAACCACTTCATAATTACTATTGTTCCCAGATCTACCATCACCTGAGGCAGTAGCACCTGTTAGGAGCCTAGACAGGGGCAAGCAAAACAAAACAATAACAAAACACTATGAAAACATAAAAAAACGATTTATATTAAAATTACTAACAATACTAATTTATAGAAAAGTCACCAACAATATTTATTTGGAGTATATATTTACTTAAAGCCATAAAACTGTGTTCAAAATATTTAGCTTTCGGTATTAACTAACCCATATAGCTATTGATGCGTTTCTAAACAAAATAAACCAAACAAACAGAAAGAAAACTGTTAAAATGTAAAATTACATTTTTATAGCAACAACTAGCAGCATGGCCCGGCGTTGCCCGTGCATGATTAAAAAATCGTACTACTAATACAGCAATTGATATCACTTGACTTAAAATATGTTTGCCCTTCCTTGCCTTTAAAGGCGTGCCCTATGCCGTGCTGATGTTGCCACATGCCATACTTCTTGCCTATCTCACACTGTGAATTTTTTCTAAGCTCTATACTAAACATTAAATCTGTTACGAAAAAAGAACCAAACAAAATGAACACAAAACGATTAGCTTTAAAAAAGGACTCGTAACTGGAAAAAACGAAAGAAAAAAGAATGTTAACAACCAATACTTTTTCACACCCAACCCAGTTCTGCGGAATCAGAATCAACATTGAGTTTAAGCAAGCGAATGAGCCAATTGGAGTAAAGTGTCATGAAGATTTAAATTTTTCCCACTTGTGACGAATGCAGCTATCGATTTTCTTTGCATGCTAGCATGCTAGTTAACATTCGTGTCAGTCAGCTGTTGGCTCTCACGCTGGCCAATAGAATCTTCCTGCCTATTCGTGACAACCAGCTATAGGATCTCACTTTGGCCAGTACAAAATGGCCGCAAACTACATGAAAACTGCCGTAGAAGCATGAAAAAATTGATTATTTCCACTATCGATGGGAGTTGGGAAATGCAAGGTCGGTCTTGGCCTTTCCACTCACTTGGACCATGTGCATGTAAATTTACGTGCAAATCCGTCGAAAATTGCGGCCGTGCATTCGTTACACACACACACACACACACACACACACACACACACACACACACACACACACACACACACATCCTTCTTTTTATAGATAGAGATACCAGCAATACATTTTTATATAAAAAATTACCAATAACACATTGATAGCAAAATTACCAACAGTACATTCGATCTGTATTTGAAGGCATACAAATGCGTTCAAAATATTTAGATTTTGGTATTAAACCCTAGAGGTTGATATGCTGCTAAATAAAATCAAACCCAAAACCAATATGAAAGAACGCTTTCATGACATTAATCCATTTAATACCCTACAATTTCAAACTGTATTCCAAAATATGATTACAGCATAAAACTCACACACCGCCGCATCGAGTATTTTTATGCGCGCAAACATGTATATACACAAAAGCTGAGTATCACCTACCATGTAGTCAATTGTGAAAGCAGAATAACATATAATTTTATTACTTCAAATCTCCAAGAAAATTAAATGTCGGCATTATATGACCCATAAGTAGTTAATGTGCCGTTAAACAAGCAAATCAATCCAATCAGTCCACAGCCTGACACGTATATATTACACATTCTCTGAAATTTTACCTGCACAATCTTCCATCATTGGGATTAATATTCATTAAAGAATGAAGTGCACAAAGAAGGATCTTTTTTTAATCATTTCACACCAAGCAAGGCGGGAATGCCACTAGCATACAGGGTGTTACAGAGAGTGAAAGTGAAAGTGAAACTGAAAGTGAAAATGAGATAAAAAAACTCAGTCTAAAGAGGATTGAGAAAGGAATAAAGATAAACATGATTCAAGAAGACAGAAGATAGGGATTGATGTTACATTTAAATTTTTGTAGTTATCATGACAGCAAGTAAACGTCAGGGTGTTCCAATACCGGAGAATACGAGGAATTAAACTTTTGGAGTAGAAGTTCCATTTAGTTATTTCAACCGTAAACGATGTTAGACAAATGCCAATACAATTGCACTCTTAAATTCATGTAGTTGGCGAATCATATGTAAAAGTTTATCAAGTGCAGTTGACATTAAAATATTGTAAAAAAGACAGAGGGGAGCCACGCCATATCGCTGAGAAAGTGACTGAAATCAAGAGGCCAAATTAGGATCGATTACATTACAGATCTTTCTTTGGATTTTGTCAAGAACCTCGAGATGAATATCAGGAGCACCTGACCAAATATGGCAGTAGTATTCAATGCACGGACGAATGGTAGATATGTAAATGTGCAAGATGGACTCTGAGGAGAAAAAATTTATAGCAAGGCACAGTGACTCAACTTTCTTTATAGTAGATGCAGGTATTTATTCGATATGTTGAAAAACGAATATGTATAGTATAATGTAAATGCTTGTTTTCCTGCATACTTTCTGCGATAGATAGATAGATAGATAGATAGATAGATAGATAGATAGATAGATAGATAGACAGACAGGCAGGCAGACCGACCGATTGTGTCCGTGTCAGAAGTGACAACAATGGCAGCAGTTAAACTGTACACTTTATCTTTCAAATTAATCTGGGATCCAATATTTTACAAATTACTTTTCCAAATCTATGACAAAACAATGGCAGCATCTTCGCTTGCCCGCGCACCTCTTTGATATGATGGAATATACGCTACGCACTTCTCGGAAGAGGGATAGATTGAGGCAGTGTAAGACGGGGATAAGTGGTGTCGAAGAATGAAAAGGAATAACGCTTTGCTGTGGGGCGGGTTCGTCCATTTTTCGAGACGAATTTGGTGGTCTGAGTGATTTGAGATGGATTTAGAGACAGGAAAATGAAATAGATTTCGTACGAAAGAAAATTAGAAAAGCAAAATGCTCGCAAAAAAAAAGACAAAAAATAAATAGAAGAAAAGAAAGTGGTTGTAAGAAATCAAAAGGAAATTTAAAAGCATAGAAAAGAAATCAAAAGAAAAAAAAAAGAGATAAAAAAGTTGTAAATAGAAAAGAAATGGAGAAAGAGAACTAACGGGATAGAAAAGGAAAATAAAGAAGAAAAAGAAGAAATATAAGGAATAGAAAACGAATAGAAAAAGAAAGGAGGAAAGTGAAAGTTTGAATGTAAAAAAGAAAGAGAGTGATAAAAAGGGAATAAATGAAATGTCGAAAATTAAGAAATGAAAGAAAAAGAAAAACAAAGAGAGCGTAAAAGAAGAAAAAAGACATTGAACGATAAGGGGTGAAGGAAAATATAAAGAGAATGTGTGGCAAATTAATAAAAGCGTGAGAAGAAAGAAATAAGGAAGAGCGAAAGGAAGAAAAATAAAGCATAGGCAATAGAAAGAAAGAAAGAAAGAAAGAAAGAAAGAAAGAAAGAAAGAAAGAAAGAAAGACATGGAGAAAGAACGAAAGAAAAAAAAATAAAGCGTAAGGATATAGAATATAAAGAAAGAAAGAAAGAAAGAAACGAAGAAAGAAAGAAAGAAAAATAACGCATTAAAACAAAATCGAAAGGGAAGCAAGCGTGTAAGAAATGAAGAAAAAAGACAAATAGAACACGAAGGAAGCTAGAAAGAAAGAAATGAAAAAAGAAAGAAACGAAAGAAAGAAAATAAAGCGTAGGGATAAAGAATAAGAAGCAAGAAAGAAAGAAAGAAAGAAAGAAAGAAAGAAAGAAAGAAAGAAAGAAAGAAAGAAAGAAAATAAAGCGTAGAAAGAAAGAAAGAAAGAAAGAAAGAAAGAAAGAAAGAAAGAAAGAAAGAAAGAAAGGCAAATGGAGCGAATGATCAAATAAAAAAAACTTGGATAGAAGTGAAAGAGAATGAAATGAAGAGAAAAAGAAATGAACGAATTTACAGAGATGAAAAAGTAAAAGAAGGAATAAAGAAACCTAAAAATAAAGTAAAGTTTACAGATAAAAATGTGGGAAGAAACTAAATTAAGGAAGAAGAAATAAAAAGAAAAGGAAGTGCATGCAAAAAGAAAACAAAAAAACAATGATTCAATATAAGAATGAAAATTATAAATAATTCAATGAAAAATATTATCAACTACAAACTGAATGAGCAATAAAAGATTAAAAAAAAAATGAAATTGAATGCAATGAACCTCCGTAGAAAAAAAAAACAATAACAAAAAATATTTGAGAAGAAAGAGAAATGAAAAAGTATGAATGAAAGAATAAAAGGTGGGGGAAGCGAAACCTAAAACATAAAATATAAAAGCAAATAAGAAGAAAAGAAATTCAAGAAAAAAAAAGCACGAAGCAAAATTTCCCGCCAAAGTATATGAAATGTTGAGGTGGAGGACAGGATAATGGTAGGGGTGTTGAACATGTGATAGGCCGCAAGCTGATCAATACACTGTGAGATGTGATTCACCGGGGAAATAGCAATGGATTTAGGAGCCAGAACTAGCTTTCTATCCAATATCGATTCCAGGGGTTGAATATGCACCGTTCTACTGTGTTCCTTCACCCACAAATCTCTCTATGGACACGGGCATATGTATGTGTGTACGCATGAATTCTAGTACAGCCTACATATTCACACGGATTAATATTTTACACAGACGTAGGCACACAACTATACTTAAACCTATAAGAAAATGCAAAAAAGAAACGATATACATACATCTTTCTCTCTATCTCTCTCTATTCATATAAATATATATATATATATATATATATATATATATATTTGTTATTTAGACAGCAATCCTTCTTTCATGCAGGCTTCATTAAATATGACAGACAAATTGTTTTGATTAAAAATTTTTTTATATAATTTTTCATATAATCTTTTAATTTTTTTTCTTTTCAGTTGATAAATTATACAAAAGTGACTAAATGTTTTATTTTTTCCAAGGGTATTCTGCTATATATTTAGCCATTTTCAAAGATTTCCAGCTAAGAGTAAATATATTTCATCCTTGAAAAGACTACATTCATAGTCGAAAGCGTTTGTAAAAATAAAACATTTGAACAGAATTGTATAATTTATCAACTGGAAAGAAAAAGTTAAAATATCATATAGAAATTAGAGGAAAAAATACCTTATCAAAGGACCGCATCTGTCATATTTAATAAATCTTATATATATATATATATATATATATATATATATATATATATATATATATATAAATGAAAAAGTTATGTCGAATATGGGATCGACAGTGTTATTCTATAAAGCATGTTTGTATATATATATATATATATATATATATATAGAGAGAGAGAGAGATAGATAGATAGATAGATATAGATCTACTAAAACTCCCATAAGCCTGCTGTTTTATTTAGAAGAAAGATACAAAATTATGAGGTAACAGTATTATAAAAATAAACACATGTTGTTATTAATAAGACATATTTTAATCTATGTTTGCAATTGATAGATGAATATATGTATGTGTGGATATGTGAATATATTTTTAGGTTTATATATATATATATATATATATATATATATATTAAAAAGTAGAGGGTTTGTGTGTTGGCAATCCGAATTGTCAATGCAATTCTAGAAAGAAAATTCGATTGCCAACACAAACAAACAGAATGTCTCATATCGAGAATATTCCACATTGAACATGAAGAAAAATTAATTATTTTTAATAATATGTAAAAATCTCCACTTTCACCTGAAGACGGTTGCGAGACCAGACCAGAAACACGTGTCGTGAAATTATGTAAAACAAAGTATAATATTTTTCTCAATAAATCCACATTACAACCAAAAACGTTTGCGGCACCCCTCTTCTTTTAATATACATACTTTTCTCTCGTTGGAACCACTACAACATATTTCTTTTATATATATATATATATATATATATATATATATATATATATATATATGTGTGTGTGTGTATGTACACGTATGTCTGTGTGTGTGTGTGAGTACATGCCTAAGTGTATGTACCTACTTGTATATATTTTTGTGTGTATTAGTATGTGTTTTTGAACATAGAAATATTTGGTCCTTGCTAAATTAGACAATCGTTATATTCATCTTTATATATTTATATTTGATTTCTAAACTGTAGTCGATATTAATTTGTCAAATTTTCTCAATTACAAAGCGGCCCTTTAAGTAAACACAATTTTATTTTCCTTCGTCCCATCTCTCTCCCCCACCTCTTCTCTTCCTTTTTTTTTTTTCCCTCCTATCCTAATTGTCTATGGTGTGTATATGTCACCACGAAATATGTCACCACTTTATGCATTAGACATCCGTCGACTTTCTTTCTCTCCTCTTTTTAAATCCCCCCCCACATCTCCTAAAATTCTCTCTGTTAAGGTTTCATGTCCCTCCTCCTCATACTTACACTTTCTCTAAATTCTGTTTTGATTTCCGGAGTTGTTTTTCTGTTTTCATTTTGAATTTGTAGGTCTGATGATTTGGATGGTATTTACGATTCCAATGGAATAAATTATGACCATGGAGTATTAGTGTTTAAGCCTTTTTATTATATCCTTACTCTGTCCTAGACATTGAGTTCTACCTGGATTCTTCCTCTTGGAAAAAAGTTTTTTTCTGAAAATATACATGTATGGGAATTTTTTATATATATTTTGTATATGTATGTATATTTTCCACTAATATTATCTATCTATCTATCTATCTATATATATATATATATATATATATATATATATATATATATATATATATATATATATATATAGCTGTACTTCTGTATGGAGCACAGTTTTAAAAATAAAAACAAAAAATACTAAGGAACTCCGGATTATGCACCCAACGTGTTCTTTTCTATTTTCTGCATGCCTGCGCACTATATATATATATATATATATATATATGTCATCCACAGACAGACTGTTTAGCTCTATCACAGCTCTTCGGTTTGGCTTTTACGTCCGATTGCCCTGCCGGGATAGAAATCCGACCGATTTGGTATCAGTCAGAGATTCTACCGCTATCGTCACACAGCAGGGAGAAAGGAAAATTTTTAACGTTTTCTATGCCCGGAGAGCTCAATACATTTCGGTTGAAGAGCAATTCTTTAATAGCGATATGAACCACTGTTTTTTGGGGGTTTTTTTTAATTACCTTTTTATTTTCAAAAGAACTCATCTAAATTTCCCAGTTTGGTATCAGTCAGACTCTTTACCCCTCGCCTATCGTCGCACGGTAGAGAGAAAGGACAATTTTTAACGTTTTCTATGCGAAAATACGTCAGGGGCATGGAGAGTTTAATTTAATTCCGTTATTTATAATTATTAATTATATATTAGAACGCTCGCCTTCCATCTCTATGTCTAAGATATGAATGTTATTATGGTCGATATTTAAAGGTATCGGCCGAGAGAAATGATCCCAGTGTATGGTACCTTTGAAAAGTGTATGAAAATTATAAAACTCGTAAACCCAAACATTGTGAGTAAAATAGAATTGACAGAATTGTTTTATAAACTATCAATGTTTGTATTGCTATGAAGCCACAAATCATGGTTAACGAAGTTTGTGTCAACTGCTGATCGTGACACATTATGTGTTTTCTTCCAGAAATTAAGATCTGCTCAGCATAATTTCACAGGAGAACCTTGTGGGTGTTGAACAAGTGTCTTCAACAGAGATTACTAGCCGTCTGTCTGATGTGTATGCTGTGAAAACGACAATAGTCAGCTGTTAATATTATTATTGTATTTAGGCAGTAAGATATCATTTGAAGAATTTCTATTGAATTCAACTGAAAAGGTCTATCAGTTTAATTTCTTATTGTATTTTTCCAAGTTCGAATAGGTTGTTGCACATCTGGATAAAAATTTTGCAAGCCCGAGAATTGGACATCTCCAAACCTTTCGACAGGGTTAGGACTATAGGTCTTCTTGACAAGCTGAAATGTTACAGTGTCTCCGGTAAGATTTTTTTTTTAATTGATCCTATCTTTCCTATCAAATAGTGAAATGAAAGTCACCCTGGACGGCCACTCGTCTAGATCATTTTGCACAAATGCGGGTTTCAGCTAGGGCTCCATGCTTAGTCCTTTTTTCCTCTTCATTAATGACTTTCCTTATGCCATCAGCTCTCAACTTGGTATCTAGTCTGACGACACAGCCAGTTATTCCTGTCTGATTAGTTTCATAAGCTCAAAATGGCAGCCGATGTCGAAAATGACCTCTAGTCCGTTGTTAACTGGGGCAAAAGATGACTTCTTAATTTTAACGCCTCCAAAACTAAACTTTCTCCATTAAATATCTGACCCCCCCTCTACCTTTCACCAAAATGGCTGATGCTAACCTCCAAAAAATAACTTTTTGTGCCTTCTCGGACTAACATTCTCAACTGATCTGAAGTGAAAAGACTATATTGAATTCATTGCTAGGTAAACTGCTATGAAACTTGGTTCACTGTGTCGTGCTAGACAATTTGTCTCTCCACAATCTATCTCACATATCTATAAGTCTCCCATTCTCCCATGCTTAGAATATTGTTACCACATATCGTCCAGTGTTCCCGCTATTTACGTTCAGCTCCTTGATAAAATCCAAAAAAGGATGAGCAATATTATCGGTTCTGATCTGGTGGTTAAACTTAAGACTTTTTCCCACTGCCGAAAGTTTGTCTCGCTTTTTTTTCTATAAATACTTTCATTGTAATTGTTCTGATGAGCTCTTATTTTCTTTAGTTTCTTGTAAATAGTTTTTTGTATTCGTATTGTAAATACTCATTGGGGTTAACTTTTAGAATTGTTGTTTTATTCCCCTCTCCCCCCACAGACAATGAATTGTAAATATGGGGACTAGTTAGTATTTTCATAGAGACAAAGAGGTATCATGGTGGTTGTAGTAAGAAAGGTACGTATGAATGTGTTGTTTTGGTGTAAGGAATATTGTTTCGTACGATTGGGTCAGTGTTTGCGGCTAGCTAAGTTATAGTTAAGACAGAAGAAGACCGTCCTTTCCCCAATCCCCTTTTCGGCCTTGTGCCACATTTCTGTATTGTACAGAATAAATATTGCTCTTCGATATGGTACCTAGACATTTTAAATTTAAACGCAATACTAGACTGACGACGAAGTCTCATTAGTTTACAGTTGTGTTGGATAGATGTAACCGTAAGTTCTATGCTAACAGTTTCTTTTCTCACATTTCAGGATCTTGGAACTCCCTTCAGGCTCCATGCTTTCTAGCTAATCTTAATCTTAAAAAATTTAAATTCAATGTCAATCGCTA